AGAAGTGGTGCTCCTAGTGGCCGGGGACTTTAATGCAGGCAAACTTAAATCCGTTTTACCTCATTTCTACCAGCATGTCACATGTGCAACCCCCCCCCCCAAAAAAGAACTCTAGACCACCTTTACTCCACACACAGAGATGCGTACAAAGCTCTCCCTCGCCCTCCATTTCGCAAATCTGACCATAATTCTATCCTCCTGATTCCTGCTTACAAGCAAAAACTAAAGCAGGAAGTACCAGTAACTCGCTCAATACGGAAGTGGTCAGATGACGCGGATGCTACGCTACAGGACTGTTTTGCTAGCACAGGCTGGTATATGTTCCGGGATTCATCCAATGGCATTGAGGAGTATACCACATCAGTCACCAGCTTCATCAATAAGTGCATCGATGACGTCTCCCCACAGTGACCGTACATACATATCCCAACCAGAAGCCATAGATTACTAGAGCTGCCACTTCCCATGATGTCAGGCAAAGAAGCACTGAGTTTGAAGGTAGGCCTTGAAATACATCCACAGGTACACCTCCAACTGACTCAAACTATGTAAATTAGACTATCAGAAGCTTCTAAAGCCATGACATCATTTCCTGGAATTTTCCAAGCTGTTTAAAGGCACAGTCAACTTAGTGTACAGTGGGGGGAAAAAGTATTTAGTCAGCCACCAATTGTGCAAGTTCTCCCACTTAAAAAGATGAGAGAGGCCTGTAATTTTCATCATAGGTACAACGTCAACTATGACAGACAAAATGAGAAATAAAATCCAGAAAATGACATTGTAGGATTTTTTATGCATTTATTTGCAAATTATGGTGGAAAATAAGTATTTGGTCAATAACAAAAGTTTCTCAGTACTTTGTTATATACCCTTTGTTGGCAATGACACAGGTCAAACGTTTTCAACTCTATGCGAAGGAGATGTGTCACCCTGCTTGAGGCAAATGGTAGTCACACCAGATACTGACTGGTTTTCTGATCCATACCACTGCCTTTTTCTTAAGGTATCTGTGACCAAGATATGCACTTCTGTATTCCCAGACATGTGAAATCCATAGATTAGGGCCTAATAAATGTATTTCCATTGACTGATTTACTTATTGGAACTGTAACTCAGTAAAATCTTTGAAATTGTTGCATTTATATTTTTGTTCATTGGCGTGTAGCGTGTAGCGTGTAGTTCAGCCCAGTGTAATACAAATTACTCAGAAGTAATTGAAATACATATTTCAAATACGGGGTAGCAGGTAGCTTAGTGGTTAAGAGCGTTGTGCCAGTAACCGAAAGGTCGCTGCTTCTAATCCCAGAGCCGACTATGTGAAAAATCGGTTGATGTGCCCTTGAGCAAGGCACGTAACCCTAATTGCTCCTGTAAGTCGCTCTGGATAAGAGCGTCTGCTAAATGACTGAAATGTAAATACTGCCCATCTCTGACTGTAATGTAACATGGGTAGATTGTGACTGACTGACTGATCTACAAATTAGAATGAGTAGTTATTTATGATGCAAGGTTCTTTGTATAAAAGGCAGTCGCCTGCACTTTTAGCTGCAAAGTCGAACAAGCCTATTCTCAATGGCAGGGCTCTCCTATTCTGTTCCTGGAGAGCTACCCTCCTGTAGGTTGTAACAAACATGATTCAGCTCATCAACCAGCTAATTATTAGAACCATGTGCGCTAGATTAAGGTTGGAGCGAAAACTTACAGGACAGTAGCTCACCAGGAACAGGGTTGGAGAGTCCTGCTCTATGGGTTAGACCAGTGGTCATCAATCTTGGTCTTGGAGAGCTACCCTCCTACTGACCCTCCTATAGGTTTTCACTCCAACCCCAGTTGTATCTAACCTGATGCAGTTTATCAACCAGCTGATTATTAGAATCAGGTGTGCTAGATTAGGGTTGGAGTGAAAACCTACAGGATGGTAGACCCCCAGGAACAGGATTGGAGAGGCCTTGGTTAGACTGATCATTTAGTTCCAGTGCAGTTTGTGATTTAACCACTAGGTGTCAGTGTCCTCACACTAACCCCAATGAGAAACACTCAAAGGCATGGGAACATCAGAACTACACTGGGATAGGGGCATCCCGAGTGGTGCAGCGGTCTAAGGCATTGCATCGCAGTGCTTGAGGCATCACTACAGACCCTGGTTCGATCCCAGGCTGTGTCACAGCCGGCAGTGACCGGGAGACCCATGATGCAGCGCACAATTGGCCCAGCGTCATCCGGGTTAGGGGAGGGTTTGGCCGGCATACCCTTGACCCATCTCGCACTAGCGACTCCTTGTAGTGGGCCGGGCGCCTGCAAGCTGACTTCAGTCGCCAGTTGTACAGTGTTTCCTCCAACACGTTGGTGCGGCTTGCTTTCGGGTTAAGCTAGCAGTACGGCTTGGCAGGGTCGTGTTTCGGATGGCTCTCGACCTTCGCCTCTCCCGAGTCCGTATGGGAGTTGAAGAGATGGGACAAGACTGTAACTACCAATTGGATATCATGAAAAAGGGGGTAATAAAAAAAGTTATAATAAATCAATATGAAAATAAATTTAAAAACTACACTTTGATAAACAACAGTGTGTTGTACGTTTACTTGATTCTCACAATGAAAAATGTGGACTACATTTACATTTACATTTTAGTCATTTAGCAGACGCTCTTATCCAGAGCGACTTACAGGAGCAATTAGGGTTAAGTGCCTTGCTTAAGGGCACATCGACAGATTTTTCACCTAGTCGGCTCGGGGATTAGAACCAGCGACCTTTCGGTTACTGGCACAACGCTCTTACCCACTAAGCTACCTGCCGGTTGACTAACTGTTTATGTGAACTACTGTGTATGTGGGTTGGTTCTTCTATCCTTGTGGGGACCTACAATCCCCAAATGTCCCCACAAGGATAGTAAAACAAGGAAAATTGTCCCTTGTGGGGACATTTCCCACATACCCATGAGGACAAAGGCTATTTTAAGCTTAGGGGTTAGGTTTAGGGTTACGGTTAGGGTTAGGTTTAGTGTTAAGGGTTAGGGAAAATAGGATTTTGAATGGAAATACATTTTAGCTCCCCACGAGTGTGTGTTTCAAGTTTTAATGTCACGTGCACAATTACCATGAAATGCCTTTCTTACTAGCTCTAAACCCAACAATGCAGTAATCAATAACTTCTCTCTCCACTCTCTGCCTCTGTCTCTTCCCCGTTCTCTTCCCTCTTCACGTCTTCCTCTTTGTCCCCTCTTCTCTGCCAGAAAACAGAATGTTCTAAAGGAAACAGGTGTCTAACATCATAATTTATCCACTACCAATCCTCTATCATATAGCCTATCAGGGCATACAGTACATGTTTATATTCTTCAGAGTGAGGATGAGTTCTTCTCAGTACCAAATTACCAAACAACTGTGTTACTATCTTTGTGTGTTAGTTAATCATTGATGGATGGATGGAATGATTGATTTACATAATGTTAGTGATTATGTCAGAGGTGACAGTTGATTCCATGTGGAGACTGGAGAGGATCCTCAGCGGCACCATTCTGGTCGCTCCTCACCCCAAACGTTTCTTGGCTATGCTAAAAAGTGTGTATAAATACAGTATTAAATATGCTTTATGGAAAACCTACTTTACCTGCAAACAAGCGATCTGGGGTCACACACACACACACACAGTGTCTGTATTGTGTGTGTGTGTGTGTGTGTGTGATCCCAGATTAACTGATTGCAGGTAAAGTAGGTTTCACAGGAGCCGTGGTTTCACAGGAGCCGTGGTTTCCTGGAAACCATGTGACTGGGAACTGATTGACTGGGAACTTTTTTCCTGCACATGGGCATGCAGGAAAAAAGGGGTGAGAGGGACACACAAACACTATAGAAACTGTGTGTGTGTGTGTGTGTGTGTGCATATATGCATGTGTCTGCTGTGTGTGTGTACCTCTCACCCCTTGTTTCCTGCATGCCCATATCCAGTCAGCTCCCAGTCACATGGTTTCCAGTAAATCACAGGGCTCCAGTGAACTGCAGTATATCTATAACACACACACTCCCTCTGTGTTCACTGTTTTCTCCTTTGTCTCTCCTGTATTTTTCCATAGCTCAACTAGTGTAACTTTCTCAGTTCTGCCTTGATTCTCTGTTAACTGTGTGGATGTGACCAACTGGGTTTTAACCAAGGTCATCAGTGCACCACAATACTGTTAGCTCGTTTAGATAAAGTTTGGGCATTAGCTTGGGAGATAACATAAATCTTCAGGTCTAATCACACAATAATTTATAAAACAGAATAATTTATAGAAGATTTTTGATAGAGGAGATGTGTACTGTGTAATATTTACTTTCCTGGTGTAGCTATGAGATCCTTTCGTTGATAAAAAAAAAAGAAGAAGTTGTAAGTTGTGAGTGAACTTCCCTTCATGGTAAAAAGACAGTCTATTACGTAATTCCTCAGTGAGAGAAAGAAAGAGGGTGGTTGGAGAAGGAGGGGGAGTGATGAAAAGTGAGAGAATGAGAGAGAGCGGGACTGATAACAGATAGGTTAACAACTACAGAACTACAGGAATAGGCTACTGTACCTGTTATAATGACCATGGAAAACAAGAACATATTCAACAACAGTCAGTCACAGTATCAGTTTGAATATTTATTACAAAACTCCTTAAAAAAGTAAAAAGTAACAATAAATAGCAGCATAGATACAAACAGTGTTTACAATAAACAGTTAATCAACGATGTCTGTAACAGAACATTCATAATGATACATTCATAATATTAATTCAACACAACACATTTGCCTTATCTGGTCTAAGGTTACAATGTAGACTAGCTAGAACACTGCAGTCATATTAGTGTGTAGCACAAACTGTTTGGACGCTACAGACAGAAGTTGGCAGATCGGCTGTATCGACTTCAGACAAGTCCCAATATGCTTGTGCGGGTCGTAGAGCAAAACGGAGAACATCGTGTTCATGAGAGTCTCATCTTTACCTAGAGGGGTCATAATAGTTTCTAGGCCACACCGTTCGGCCTCTACAGACAATTTTGTGAGAAGACTGATTTTCGGGATGTCTCATGGTCTGACAAATACAGCTCTAGCTCTGTCACCTTTCACCACAGATGCGGAAGTGCAACAAAGATACCTCTAGCTTAAACTGATGGATTTGTATGGGGATTTTTGTATTATGCTAATTAGATACATTCATTCAACACAACACATTTTCCTTATTCAGAAACTGTGTATGTGTGCCTAAGCTGGCCAGGTCACTATCACAGCACTTTAGGATAGTGTCCAGCATTTTACTGTCCAGCCGGGAGCAAGAGAAAGGTAACAGGTGCTGTTTGCCTTTGATATACAGGGATGAGCTATGTGGTGTCTGTAGTGCCTCTGGTGTCTGTAGAACCTCTGGTGTCTGTCATTAGTCTGGTGTCTGTAGTTTCTTTGGTATCTGTAGGTTCTCTGGTTTCTGTAGTGCCTCTGGAGTCTGTAATGCCTCTGTTTTGTCTTGGTCTGGTCTAGGGTTACATTGTAGACTAGCTAGAACACTGCAGTCTGCTGGTCAGGAGAACAGATGGGTACTGGCTCTGTGGTCACCCTAAGGCAGGGATTGGTGTTGTCCTTATTTTGCTCTCTTCAGATTTTTACCCTGAGTTTCCTCTGTTTCCCCTGTCCTCTCCTCTTCCTCTTCAGACACTTCCTCACATCCACTCCACCCGCTCTGGCTCTGAGGGAGAGAGAAAGAGAGAGAGAGAGAATGCATTGATATGTTTAGGACAGCTGTTACTATCAGAGAGAGAAAAATAGAGAGGGGAAAGGGAGAGAGAAAAGAGAGAGGGAGGAGTGGGATAGAGAAACAGAGAGAGAGAGACAGTTGCTGAACAAGATAAGAGAGAGGGAGGAGTGGGATAGAGAAACAGAGAGAGCGAGAGAGAGACTGTTGCTGAACAGAGGGCTCTTTGTATCACAAACTGTTGACAGGAATTTATGATCTGACTCATAGTCAAACTGAAACTAACGACTCAATTTGATCAAACCCACATGACAGTATTTACTCAGCAGCATACTGTATTTATAGTCGCGCCAATATGACACCAACGTTGATGAAACTTCGCAAATCAACTTGACTGGAGGTACACAACACACTCCCCGCCTCTAGCTATGAGCAGTCCGGCCGTTACCGAGAACCACATACTGGATTTTTAACAGGGTCGTTAGCATTAGGAAAAAATAAAATGTCTTGCCCCGACCTAGCTCAATATCTAGGCGTCGGATACGAACGAGACTACTGAGTCCATAAAGTGACCATTAGACTTGCCACTTTTCAGACTGAATCAGTTTGTAGGGGCAACAGTTTTGATTCAGTTTATAATGTATCGCTCTCACGTGCCAATACAGAACCAACGAAGTGCTACCTTTTTGTAGCATTTCTGACAATGCTAATATATTTTCAGCTGAATCTCAGAGTTTTAAAACCGGGACCAGCAACTTAGTTGCTGTGCAACAGCAGCAGCTAGCTAGTAGCAGGCTAGCAGCTGTAGCTAGCTAACACCAGTCAGATGAGAAGCAAGTTAGAAGCAAAAGAAGCTAGCTAATTAGCTATATTTTGCTATGGAAAGTTTTCATATGGCTGAAGTAATCTGTCTAAACTAAATCAGAGCACAAACAAATAAGCTAGCGAACGTCCTTGGCTGCTATAGCCAGTTAGCTAGCCAACTAGCCAGTAGCTACAAACCAACGAGACTGTCTGTAACATAGCTGTATAGATCTTAAACCACAACTCAATTTTGACAAGATATCCTAGCTAGCTACAAACAACTGCTAGCTAGCCTACCTTTCCTAAACCAAGACCAGCCTCTAACAACACAAATTGTAGCTGATAAAACAAATTGTTTTACTAGCTATGTTGAATCTAAACCCGTCCAATGCACATGCAAGTAGCACATTGGCTGTGCATTGCAGTGAGTGTACACATGCTTGCTAGCTAATTAGCTAGATCAACACATGAGAGGGACACAAATTTGTGCTGACTGATCAACAGTGGTGTCAAGTTTCTTTTCAGTGTTCCCAAAAATCTGAACCCAGTAAGGAAAATGACAGTTTAAAATACATAGTTTTCATTTTAGGTTCTGAATCTTAAGATATGTATTTTCCGGACATGGAAATTGCCTATTTTCTGGATGTTGAAAATAAATATTTTCGGTTTTGAATGAATGTTGAAAATACATTCTCTAAAAAAAATGGTATGTACTGTACTGTAATGTACTGCACTCTGCTGTGCTCTACTGCAGTGGTTCTCAAACCTCTCCTCGGGGACCCTCAGATGTTTCACAATTTAGCTGTTGCTCTGAACTAGTTTTATTTTTTACATTTTAATCATTTAGCAGACGCTCTTATCCAGAGTGACTTACAGTTAGTGCATTCATCTTGTGATAGCTAGGTGAGATTCAAGAGTTTGAGAATGAGTTGACAAGTTGAATCAGGTGTGCTAGCTCTGGAATAGATAAATTACTAAACCAAACATAGACATCTATTGTTGGGCCAAATCAAGGCCAGTCCATATTGGACCAAATCTGAACCAAACATAGATGTCTGTGGACGAAATTCCCTAAAAACACGTCACTTCGATACAGCTATTACTTTTTCGTAGCAGGTTATGAGAATTTATGCATCAGGTTAGGATAATTAACATAGCAGATTAGGAGAATTAGGTTAAGGTTAGGAAAAGAGTTAGGGTTAGCGAAAATGCTCTCCTAACCTGGAACTTAAAGTGACGTGTTTTTAGGGAGTCCCGTCCATGGACGTTGAAAAAGGACCAAAAAAAGACGTTGGCGTAGGTCCCCTTCGTGAGAAGTAGCCATCAACAAGTAAAAAACTGGAGGGGGGTTGGGCGGAACTCCCCCAGATTTTGGGGGGGATTTCTTTCCAAATGCTCACTCAGTCAACTTATTCAGTACTTTGATAGTCACTTAGAGGAACTGGTATGTGCTTAATGTAAAGCAGCTGTTGATATTCACCCCCCTCCCCTCTTTAAAGGGAGAATCCATATGTTTTGCATTAATGCAAATAAATCAAATCACATTTTATTTGTCACCTGCGCCGAATACAACAGGTGTAGACCTTACCGTGAAATGCTTACTTACAAGCCCTTCATTAACCAACAATGCAGTTCAAGAAATAGAAAGTAACAATCTTTTTTTTTTGACCAAATGTGACTCTCATTGATCTCTATACAAAAATTCCTCACTTCATGGGCTTCTTTACATGGACAGATTTTGGGCAGAGTAAAACCTCTCGTTTAGTCTCTTCCTCTCAGTTATCAACCAGCTAAGTATTAGAATCAGGTTCACTAGATTAGGGATGCAGTGAAAACCTCCAGGAAGGTAACTCTCCAGGAACAAGGTTGGAGTGCCCTGTTCTAGATTGACTTTCTGAAGTATGTGCCATAACTATCCGCTTATGTTAATAAAGTAAAGTACAGTAAAGTAAGTAAGTAATGTACTGAAATGTACTGAAAAGTACAGTAAATTAAGGTTGAAGTAAATAAAGTAAAGTACTGTGCTGAATGTTAAAATGTCTCTTACTTCTTCCAGCAGCGCAGCAGCTGTTTTCCCAGTGGTCCCTTTGGATTCACACACACAGGCTCACTGGTCCTCTTCTCTACCACTCTACAACACACAGAGAGACACACAGTTAACACACACACTCTCCAACACAGAGCACAAATACTTAATCATTACACACACACTCTGCAACATGAGGGGGAAACACATGCTTTATCACACACATACACTCTTTGTTTCATTGAATAGCTATGAGGTAAAACATATTTTACCTGTGTGCGTCAGTGCATGTATGTGTGCGTGAGTGCATGTATGTGTGCGTGCCATCTGTGTGTGTGTACATATGGGTGTGGGCATTTGTGTGTGTGCATGTGTGATCTGGTACTTACATGATCTGGTCAGTGTTGCAGGCAGGGCCTTTGAGTGTGACTTTGAGGTCAGACAGTGGTCCCCTGACAGTTGTTTTTGTGTCATAACACTCACACCTCCCTGGGACAAACTGCCCCTCACCTTCCCCAACTGTAGAGACAGACACAGAAACAGCCAATGGTGATTCAAGTGAAATCTATCATGTCACACACCATATGGGAAAATAACATTCTATCAGTCTTTCTGGAGTCACACTTCTCACCTAACTACAGATAGACCGACAGATTAGAGTTTGAGTGCATATATCTCTAGTTACTATTCAGCCCACAGAGTATAGTCAGACAGACTGACAGACAGACAGACATTCTGACTGACATTAACACAATGTCGCTTATACAAACTGTAACCCAAACCTGTGTGGGCCTGTGTGTGTATGGGTCTTACCTGTTTTTACTTGATTTTTAATATTATTTATTTTAACATTATTATAAAAATGGGTAGATCGGCTTTAATATTGCAGTTGGATTGTAACTTCCATCAATGTAATTGTCTGCATCACTTCCAATCCCCCATATGTTATTTTTTCTCGCAAATATATACACATACATATACATATATACATATATACACACATATATATATATATATATATATATATATATATATATATATACATACATATGTATATATATACATACACATACATATATACATATATATATATATACAAATATATATATATATACATATATATATATACATATATATATATATATATATATATATACATATCCTTAAAAAATATATATATTTCCCTTAATTACTTTCCAACCCCACCACCTCTTCCCTAATTGGAGTAAACTAGTGAACAACAACGCTTAGGCCTCTACTTCCAGCTTATACATACTATATACATTTTATGGACACAGTCAATTTTACAATAATTCTATTTTGTTTGTTTTTACTCCTGAATTTCCTCTACCCTCAACCTCTCCGATCATTTTCATGATGTTCATCCGGTTTGCTTCTATATGCCATATATTTCTAACTGTGCTCTTTCACAAAAGCTCTCAACCTATAACCTATATACTTATTATTGACACAGTATGCTTTACATTAGTTATCTTGTTGTTATTAGTTGTTGTTAGTTGTTATTAGTCCCATCCTTCAGCTCCATACAACACCTCCCATCTACCTCTTAACACCATCCATTTTGGATTTCTATTTGCCATTTATTTTTCAACTGTACTGTGATGTTTCACAAAAGTTCTGAACCCTTCTATTCTGTTTCTACAGACTGTAAATTGAAAATAAACATTTTTGCTAAAAGTATTATAATATTATTGATCGATTGACTATGACTTTTCAGATCACCCAGTATTGCTGTCTGCAGGGTTAGCTCCAGGTAAATATTGCAATCCTTCAGTCATTCCTGGACCTGTGACCAAAAACAAGCTACAAATGGACAGTACCAAAACAAATGATCTAATGATTCTGTCTCTTCGCAGCGAAATCTGCAGAGCAAGGAAGATTGTATCCCCCATATAAATAACATTCTATTGGTAGCAAGAATTTTGTATAATAATTTAAATAGAACAATTCTAAGTTTTGAATCTGGCGTGGTTCTTACCTGTTAGCAGTAGGCAGTAGAGTGACAGGCTAGCCAGCAGACAGAGAGACTGGACAGAGTGCTTCATATTGCAGCTGAGAACTGAACTGAGCCGTAGAGCTGCCTGAGCCTCCCTTATGTACCTACACACACACACACTGCCCCCTAACGCCCACATCTGGGGTTTCCAAGCATTCACATACTTACTGGAATTTCCCTCTCTCCCTCTCAGCCAAAGTCAGGATCAGGTGGGATTTCCAAAGGATACTGAGATCATGACTATCAAGGTTACTCTTGGTCTCTAGAAGATTATTAATTATTCTGAAAGGTTTATAAGAGGCCTAAAGATTAAAAACCCAGAGGACATTGCTATTTTTGCTTGAAGCTTAATTTATCAGAGTTAATTATATTTCAACAAAATACTCTTGCAGGAATGCTTATTTTGGGTTTCTAACTACAGAAACCATTTCAGAACTATCTGAGATGATGGGTGTCAAAATCCTCTTCTTCTATTCTATTTGAGAACGACTTTATTGTCTTTTATCTGGACAATGAAGGGTTTATTTAGTAACTGATGGTTGTGTGTACAGTGATAAGAGATTCAAATTTCAAAGTCTATTTATCACATGTACAGGATACAGCACATGTAAAACCAAGAATGCAGTGTAAGGGTTGGGCTGAGGTGTGACCCAGGTGTGGTGCAGGATATACAGTAGGCAGAGATGATGAAACAAGGATCTTTACTGGTGGTCCCGAAGCCAAAATACAAAATAACGGACTTATCACGATAAAAGAAAGGCAGAGCAAATAAGTCTCCAAAAACCGGCTGACAGCCAAAATACGAAATACTACCTAAGACTGAAACAAATAACGAAACAGGGAGAACACTTCTCAAGTACCTGTACATAGATCTCCGACGAGACACTGAGTAGTACTGCTGGACATAGAGAAACTAGCAGAGAAAACTGAGCAAGGGAACACAGGGAAGTGAGGGCATAAATACACAGGTGACACCAATAGGATGATAATTAGTCCCGACTGTGAGTGAGGAGGTGCCTAAGGTTGTCGGAGGATGACACCTAGTGGGTCGCTCCGGAACTGTGACCCCCTCCTGTAACAATGCAGTAATACAAGTAATAATATAGATAAGAAAAACAACAACACAAGAATGCAAGTTATATGCAGGTCAGTGCCAGTATAATTATAACAATGTGCAGGGATACTGGAGTGACTAGAGTGCCCAAAAGACCCATGTTGTGTACTGTCTCTTACAGTGAACTGTCTCTTACAGTGACTTCTCTGCCACTCCTTCAGCTCAGCTCAGCTCAGCTCACACATGCACACACACCACACACACACACACACACACACACACACACACACACACACACACACACACACACACACACACACACACACACACACACACACACACACACACACACACTCACACACACACACACCCACACACACCATGCATGCTTTAGTCCAGATATGTATTTACATGCAGCTACATTACACTGTAACTCATCTGGCTCTGTCCCAGCCAGGCCACATGATTTCTCCTTAAACCCACTTTCATTATGCCCTATTTCCTATTTTCTCCCCATGGAGAGCTAGGTAGTTCCCAGGGAAAATATAAATATAATTTTAAAAGTTCCATAACTTGACCATCTTGAAATTTAGCACAAAGAAATGGAAGAAGTGGAAGGCATGTTGCCTCTTTTTAGGCATTCCAGGCAGTCTCCTGTAATACACTTTTAGTCTGTAGTTTGTACAGAGGAAAGTCTTGGTGTAATTCATATTCAACACCTTACTACTGTGTGTGCAATGACATGGAGTAGATTTGTATCAAAATGTACAGTAGCTACATTCATGTTGTTACAGTGTGACTATTGTACACTTTTCCCCCTACAACGTCTCCATAGAAGCCTTTGTTTACATCCAAACATTATTTTTACCAGGAAGCGTACTCAGAGCATGCGCTGACCAGCTGGCAAGTGTCTTCGCTGACATTTTCAACCTCTCCCTAACCCAGTTTGTAATACCTACATGTTTCAAGCAGACCACCATAGTCCATGTGCCCAAGAACGTCAAGGTAACCTATATCTACAGCCATGAAATGCTTTGGAAGGCTGGTCATGGCTCACATAAACACCATCATCCCAGACACCCTGGACCCACTCCAATTCGCACACCACCCCAACAGATCCACAGATGACGCAATCGCAATTGCTCTTCACACTGCCCTCTCCCACCTGGACAAGAGGAAAACCTAAGTGAGAATGTTGTTAATTGACTATAGCTCAGTGTTCAAAACCATAGTCCCTCCAAGCTCATCACTAAGCTCAGAACCCTGAACACCTGCCTCTGCAACTGGATCCTGGAATTCCTGACGGGCCGCCGCCAGGTGGTGAAGGTATGCAATCACAAACAGAAAAGTGTTTAGAGCCTTTTTCACACCTATTCCCAACTTAACCCACCAAGACAATGCGAAGTAGGACATTGGTACCCAGCCAGGCGCTAATGCATCTCACTCTTCTGACTGAATGAATGACAAATGGATGAATTGGAGATAATTGTGCACGTTACTTCACAATCAAATTGAATTTAGGCCTAACTGAATGATAAGGAGGGTGAGGAGGTTGATTTAATTTAGACCAACAATAGTGTAATTTACATTTACCAGACACTCTTCTCCAGAGCAACTTACAGTTAATGAGTGCATACATTATTTTTTCATACTGGGAATCGAACCCACAACCCTGGCGTTGCAAACACCACGCTCTACCAACTGAGCTACATCCCTGCCGGCCATTCCCTCCCCTACCCTGGACAATTGTGCACCGCCCCATGGGACTCCCGGTCACGGCCAGCTACGACAGAGCCTGGATTCGAACCAGGACTAGCACTGCGATGCAGCACCTTAGACCACTGCGCCACTCGGGAGTGTAATGATGAGTTTGTGTTATGCCTATTTATCATTGTTGGCACTCATGTTAATAATTTGACTGAGCGCGTTGTGGGTGGATACCATTCTCTTTTAAGTTTTACTTTGTAAAAATAAGCTGTTACGGGACTGATTTATTTACTATATTGCTATTACTAATCACATTTAGGGCAACGAAAACATGCTACGTGTTTCTTTTAAATACATTTTCTTCTTGCCACAATGTTTCTTTAGACCTGCCAAAACGAAATTATAATGGACTTTTATTTATAGCCTGGAGTAACAAAACTATTGGAAATGTTCTTTGAAATAATTGTTTTCTAGTTTTCAAATTTTACCTAAGACCTTTATAAACACAACCAAATTACTATTCTTCCAATAGCATATATTTTAAGATGGCGCCGACAGACATGGAAGCTCTGCTTCTAGCTACTAAGCAACTTTGCAGTATTTTGTTTTTTTTGGTGTTATTCTTACATTATTAGCCCAGAAAGTTTTTTGTGTTATTATTACATACAGCCGGAAATAACTTTTGGATATCAGAGCGGGGGTAACTCACCAGCATTACGACCAGGAATACGACTTTCCCGAATTGGATCCTTTGTTCGTACTCCCCAGGGCAATTGAACTTATCCCAGAGGCTGCTCCAAGACGCCGCCGGCAGTGAAGAGGTATTCGGAGTGGACTTCTAGTCCGACTCAGGAGGCGTGCACACCATCCACCGCTTCCGAGTATATTACTCGCTAATGTACAGTCCCTGGACAATAAAGTAGACGAGCTCAGGTCGAGGATCTCCTTCCAGAGAGACATCAGGGACTGTAACATATTCTGTTTCACGGAATCATTGCTCTCTCCTGATATACTGTCCCCGTCCATACAGCCAGCTGGGTTCTCAGTACATCACGCAGACAGGAATAAAGAACTCTCCGGGAAGAAGAAAGGCAATGGTGTATGTTTCATGATTAACTACTCGTGGTGTGATTGTGATAACGTACAGAAACTCAAGTCCTTTTGTTCACCCGAGTTAGAATACTTCACAATCAAATGCCAACCTTATAGATGGCAGCATTCGCACAAAAAAAGCACGAACCACTGCATTTAACCATGGCAAGGTGACTGGGAATATGGTTGAATACAAACAGTGTAGTTATTCCCTCCGTAAGGCAATCAAACAGGCAAAATGTCAGTACAGAGACAACGTGGAGTCGCAATTCAACGGCTCAGACACGAGACGTATGTGGCAGGGCCTACAGACAATCATGGATTACAAAGGGAAAACCAGCCACGTCGCGGATACCGACGGCTTGCTCCCAGACAAGCTAAACACCTTCTTCGCCCGCTTTGAGGAAAACACAGTGCCACCGACGTGGTCTGCTCCCGAGGACTGTGGGATTTCGTTCTTTGTGGCCGACGTGAGTAAGACATTTAAGCGTGTTAACCCTCGCAAGGCTGCCGGCCCAGACGGCATCCCTAGCCGCGTCCTCAGAGCATGCGCAGACCAGCTGGCTGGAGTGTTTACAGACATATTCAATCTCTCCCTATCCCAGTCTGCTGTCCCCACTTGCTTGAAGATGTCCACCATCGTTCCTGTAACAAAGAAAGCAAAGGTAACTAAACTAAATGACTTTGAGAGGCTAGTTAAGGATCATATCACCTCTACCTTACCTGACACCCTAGACCACTTCAATTTGCATACCGCCCCAATAGATTCACAGACGATGCAATCACCATCGCACTGCACACTGCCCTATTCCATCTGGACAAGAGGAATACCTATGTAAGAATGCTGTTCATTGACTACAGCTCAGCCTTCAATGCCATAGTGCCCTCCAAACTCATCATTAAGCAACAAGGGTGCGTGCTCAGTCCCCTCCTGTACTCCCTGTTCACCCATGACCCATGACGATGAGTGAGAAAATTACAGATGCACAAATATCATACCCTCAAGATATGCTAACCTCTCACTATTACAATAACAAGGGAGGTTAGCATTTTTGGGGGGTATGATAGTTGTGCATCTGTAACTTTCTCACTCATCATTATTCACGATTCATTCAGGATTATCCGTAATCATAGTAGCATCCACACGAATGTAGAAGTGTTTAGAAACATGTTCTATTTTTATAACTAACACAAGAAAACCAACATTTTTGTTTCCAATGAGGAGCAAATTAAGCATACTGGGCAGAGCCAAGCATGAGCTAGCGAGATCCTATTGGCACGTTCTGGCATGAAATTACATTTTTCAGTTAGTGAACGCCTACTCTATGAATTGCGAATGTGCAATAATTTAATTTGCCCTTGCACTCCTTCTAAACAATGCACCATATTTGGTGGTGAGAAGAAGTTCTACATTTCTAAATTTACGTCTGGCTGCACTGTCTCATTCAGCATGACTTATCAGCGGCACAGAGGACACAATCTCAGAAGTAACATTTCTATCAGACAGTGCTTGAAATAATTTCAGGTACTCATTTTGGGTGCCGGTACTGTTTATGGGCCCCGTGTAGCTCAGTTGGTAGAGCATGGCACTTGCAACGCCAGGGTTGTGGGTTCGATTCCCACGGGGGGCCAGTATGAAAAATAAATAAATAGTGTATGCACTCTGGATAAGAGTATCTGCTAAATGACTAAAATGTCAAATGTAATTATTAGGTGTCATAACGCAAAAAATAATGTATGTGCCGATACTCAAGCAGTGGAAAATGTGAGGTGTTCTAGCACTGGTATCACATTTAGATGTATCTTGCTCTCAGTTTGGAATCTTTATTGTTCCTTAAACATTAAATATGCAAACGTAAATACAGTGAATATAAGCAATAGTGTTACAAAAGTATTTTATTACAAAATAGAATCTCTTAAATTAAACTCCACAGATTGTAAACATTAGTCCTGTAAGACCAGAGTCCCTGCATTATATCCAGCATAGTGTCACAATTCAGTGTAACAACATCTAGTCCAGTCCATACCAGCTCAATCCAGTCCAGCTCAGAACCCATCAGTGGGCCATTTGGGGGACAGCGCCATACATCATTTGTTACAGGCAGTTAGAGTATTCCCTGATATTTAATATTCCATGTTACAGCACCCACGGAGCTGCCGGAACATCTACCCTAAACTAGTATGTCCTCATTTGTGTCCTGCTTGGTGTGTGTGTCCTTGTCTCGGTTTGTGTGTGTGTTTGTCCATACAGCCATTCCATGGGATCTCTCCCCCCACATTCCCTCTCCTTCCCCAGCCTGCCTGACAGCTGCTCTGGGGCTTGACCTGTGGGGGTGATGGGGCTGGTGGTTCTAGTCCGGATGGCCCGGGGGGAACCACGGGGCAGCGAAGCTGAGACAGAGTGCTTCATCTGGGGCTTGGAGAACAGCCGAGGCCTGCCCATCCTCTGGAGCCTCACAGGGCCACAGCTAGGGTGCGCCACTGGTCTGGCCAGGGCCTGGATACTGGTCATATACTCCTCCAGGGACTGGGAGCACTGGGATGGAGACTGGGAGACAGACTGGGCTAGATGGGCTGGGTGGCCCGGGACCCCCAGGGTTTCAGAGTCTTCCAGGGTCTCAGTGATGGTGGGCAGGTGAGGCAGAGACAGAAGCAGCCGTCTATGCTTCATACTACAGAGGAAAGAGAGAAGAGAGACAGGAGGGTTGGAGATCTCTGTGTTGTGTTTGTAAAACGAATACTAGATTACAGGAATTATATATCAATGAGTCACGAGGACTCACGTGTGTATTTTTCCTTACTATTAACCATTACCATTCTACACAATTTATACTATATTACCCATGTATCTACTATTGAGAAGAAATATACATGTATGGATATTTCCTCTTAATCTATGTGGAAAAAACCCTATGGATTTTAGAATCTATAGGGTTTTCTATGGGATTCTAAAAAAGTGACATCCCACCTATACTACTGTGTCGATATAGTATAAAGATAATCAACGAAAATATTAAGAGCACATATAAATGATAAAAAAGGGATTAAGTTAAAACCAGCAACGTTTTCTGTCTAAACAAAATAACATTTGACCAGTGGTAACGGTACCATATCCTCAAATTGCAGACTTAGCTGAAGATATGAGCAGTGATATTGGAGATGAGCTCACCTGTGATGAAGTGCAGTTGTCAGTCTAATAGACAAAATATAGATCCCTTTGGATTGCTGCTTGCTGCAGTGACAGTAATAATCCACTCTGAGACTGAAAGAGCTGTAGCTGGTCCGCAGAGTAAGTGTGTGACCGGCCACTTGAGTGAGAGTATGAGCAGAGCGGGAGGCAGGGCCTTTTATACAGACACACTGCATTGAGGGAGCAAGCCAATGCTGAGGAGGATAAATATTGCCACTGATCTCACATCTTTGTGTGTGTGTGTGTGTGTGTGTGTGTGTGTGTGTGTGTGTGTGTGTGTGTGTGTGTGTGTGTGTGTGTGTGTGTGTGGTGTGTGTGTGTGTGTGTGTGTGTGTGTGTGTGTGTGTGTGTGTGTGTGTGTGTGTGTGTGTGTGTGTGGTGTGTGTGTGTGTGTGTGTGTGTGTGTGTGTGTGTGTGTGTGTGTGTGGGTGGGTGGGTGGGTGTGTGGGAAACATAGGCAGGCTGGGAAGTTGACCAAGGTTCATTGGTGCAGCTGCCCTGACTGTTTACATTTCAGAAACAATTAGGCCCTGGGAGAATCATGCACTCATTCTCACACACACATTATCTCTCTCTCTCTCACGCATGCACACACACACAGACTGTACCTAACAACAAATTGAGGGTCCTTTTTCCAGCCGAGTTCTGTTTCTCGTGCCTCTTTCCATTTTAATGTTTTGATTTTAGGATTATAGGATTAAAATCACATTCTTATTCTTAACCATGACAACAGTGAGGGAAAAAAGTATTTGATCCCCTGCTGATTTTGTACGTTTGCCCACTGACAAAGAAATTATCAGTCTATAATTTTAATGGTAGGTTTATTTGAACAGTGAGAGACAGAATAACAACAAACAAATCCAGAAAAACGCATGTCAAAAATGATATAAATTGATTTTTAAATTTTAATGAGGGAAATAAGTATTTGACCCCCTCTCAATCAGAAAGATTTCTGGCTCCCAGGTGTCTTTTATACAGGTAACGAGCTGAGATTAGGAGCACACTCTTAAAGGGAGTGCTCCTAATCTTAGTTTGTTACCTGTATAAAAGACACCTGTCCACAGAAGCAATCAATCAATCAGATTCCAAACTCCACCATGGCCAAGACCAAAGAGCTCTCCAAGGATGTCAGGGAGAAGATTGTAGACCTACACAAGGCTGGAATGGGCTACAAGACCATCGCCAAGCAGCTTGGTGAGAAGGTGATAACAGTTGGTGCGATTATTCGCAAATGGAAGAAACACAAATGAACTGTCAATCTCCCTCGGCCTGGGGCTCCATGCAAGATCTCAACTCGTGGAGTTGCAATGATCATGAAAACGGTGAGGAATTAGCCCAGAACTACACGGGAGGATCTTGTCAATGATCTCAAGGCAGCTGGGACCATAGTCACCAAGAAAACAATTGGTAACACACTACGCCGTGAAGGACTGAAATCCTGCAGCGCCCGCAAGGTCCCCCTGCTCAAGAAAGCACATATACAGGCCCATCTGAAGTTTGCCAATGAACATCTGAATGATTCAGAGAAGAACTGGGTGAAAGTGTTGTGGTCAGATGAGACCAAAATGGAGCTCTTTGGCATCAACTCAACTCGCCGTGTTTGGAGGAGGAGGAATGCTGCCTATGACCCCAAGAACACCATCCCCACCATCAAACATGGAGGTGGAAACATTATGCTTTGGGGGTGTTTTTCTGCTAAGTGGACAGGACAACTTCACCCCATCAAAGGGACGATGGACGGGGCCATGTACCGTCAAATCTTGGGTGAGAACCTCCTTCCCTCAGCCAGGGCATTGAAAATGGATCGTGGATGGGTATTCCAGCATGACAATGACCTAAAACACACGGCCAAGGCAACAAAGGAGTGGCTCAAGAAGAAGCACATTAAGGTCCTGGAGTGGCCTAGCCAGTCTCCAGACCTTCATCCCATAGAAAATCTGTGGAGGGAGCTGAAGGTTTGAGTTGCCAAACGTCAGCCTCAAAACCTTAATGACTTGGAGAAGATCTGCAAAGAGGAGTGGAACAAAATCCCTCCTGAGATGTGTGCAAACCTGGTGGCCAACTACAAGAAACGTCTGACCTCTGTGATTGCCAACAAGGGTTTTGCCACCAAGTACTAAGTCATGTTTTGCAGAGGGGTCAAATACTTATTTCCCTCATTAAAATGCAAATAAAATCATAACATTTTTGACATGCGTTTTTCAGGATTTTTTTGTTGTTATTCTGTCTCTCACTGTTCAAATAAACCTACCATTAAAATTATAGACTGATCATGTCTTTGTCAGTGGGCAAACGTACAAAATCAGCAGGGGATCAAATACTTATTTCCCTCACTGTAGCTAGATTCCTTTCATTTGAACATACAGTAGATTCTGAATGCTGGGCCTATCAGAAAATTGTATTATTGTCTTTTATCTTAGATGATCACCACCTGAAGCGGCTTGTTACTCTTTCAATGCTACAGTTCAGAGAATGACATGTTTTGCCACAATGTGGTCCATGATGGCACATGGAACTCTAACTTGCTGCTATTATTCTGGGAGAACTGATATAAAGTTGACATGTGATGTATAACTGTAGATGTATAATATGAGGTTATTTTAGGCTCTAAAGTGTCAGTGTTGTTACGTCATTGTTTCTCTGCACTTTTTTCTGAGCTACTCTTATCTCTCCAAACCAAGTCCAGTCTGCTGGCACTGTTAGGATGCTCCCTCTAAACACTGATCCAAGGTGGGTTTTGCTGTCTTCCACCTAATGTTTAAGGTTAGGATAGGGGAGGGAAAGCTGATCCTAGTTGTGATAAACCTGGGCTTTATTCACTAGACACCAAACAAAATAAAATGGAGTGAAACAGGGAGGCCCACCTTAACTTGCCCAATGAGAAACGCTCATTTTCATTTTCCGTTGCAAAACATTTTGCTACGGTGTGCACTAATGAATATAACCCTAGTAAGCTCCAATATGAAGCCTTTGACCCTGTTGGGATTGATCAAACCACAATCCACCTCCACCTGACTGAATGGAATTCAAATTCCACTAAGTGTCTTATTCAAACAGTCTGGTATATGTGTATGTGTCATTAAAACGCACCAGTAAGCGAGTACGTGTCATACAGCAGCACACGGGCTGATCTGATGATTACTGCTCTCCCAGACATGACCTCAGTATTGTCCAGTAGGGTATTTCAGACACTCACAGTTTCCCCCAGATGAGAGGGTTGAACCTGCAACTGGCTGTGCCTGGCGCTGCACGTACACCTGACTCTGAGCCAGCATGGCCATTGTCCAGCAGGATATCCGCTCTGATACAGGAATAACCATGATTGTTATTACGCTGCTGACTGATGATTATTATGTGTGTGTGTGTGTGTGTCTGTGTGTGTGGTGTGTGGACATGATAACTATACTTGTGGGGACCAGAAGGCCCCCCCAGAACAGTAAACAAACAAACATTTTTTTTTTTTGCCGGTCCCCACAAGGAAAAATGATATTTCAAGAGGGTTTAAGGTTAGAATTAGTGTTAGGTTTTGAATTAGGGTTAGGGGTTAAAGGTTAGGTTTAGGGCGACCAATCAGACTGTAGATTCACGACGACAACAAGAGACTCCGCTATAGAGGAGTCAACAGGTAGACACACACACGTTGAGCGGTTGTGGTGACCACATCCTTCTCTTCTTGACCCTTAACCTTCCCACTTCCCAGGGTTTCTTCTATTCTTCTCATTAGAGGAAAAATGTGTGAGGGACGTAAAATAGTGATGTGTGTGTTATCTGTGAGTATCTACCATTTCTGCCTCCCCTTTCTCCCCTTTTTTATCTTCTCTCTCCTTTTCCCTCTCTTCTCTCTTCTCTCTCCTCTCTCCAGTCTTTCATCTCCTCTCTTCTCTTTTCACTCCCCTCTCCCACATCTTGTATCATATCTAGCCTACTAAGTTATGGGAAAGGGTTAATCTGCGATAAACTTGATGGTCGAGTCTTCAGAGACCTTTATCTAGTAATGAGGCTGAGATGTCTCAGTCAATAGTCAGTAGGAAAAGACTAGAAGACAGCCATCATTCCTCTGCTTTAAGACGTTAATACACTACAAGACATCTACCACGCATTTCATGTTCGTATGATATGATATTTGTATGTTGTTTGGGAAATCTTGGTTTAATGTGAAATGTTCTATCAACTCTGTGTATGGGTTTATTAAGATGGTCCTATGTTTGACCTGATTCAATTAAAACAATTTCATTCCATAAATGCCCAACGTTCTAGGGTGAAGTCGTTAAGTGTGAAACTCTCCAGTATCGTGTCCAGTAATGTGAATTGTAGCTCCAGTGTGAAGTTTTCCCTACAGATAGATCAAGGATCAGTTTCCCCTCCCCCAATCTTAACCGTAACCATTAGTGGGGAAATGCAAAACTGACCCAAGATAAGCATCTAGGAGCAACTTCACCCTACACCGCGACGGGTAATGTGACCATAAATCATGTAGTGTGTACCCAGCCTTACTGTTTGTATTTACAGAATCTTCAAAAATTATATTACCTTGTTTGTGGAGGGTTTGAGTTACTCCCATCCAATTAACCAACTTTGAGTTTGAGAAAAGCACAAGGCCTATGTGAGTACCAATCAGTAATGTCAATCATTTGTCTTTATAGGAATGAGAGAACTGAACTGACCCTGCCTTGACCAGTAAGTACACACAAATTGACAGACAGACAGACAACACACACACACACACGTAATCCTGCTCTATCAATCCTGTAACCTAGCGGATTACTCTATAATTCAATTTTTAGGATACAAACCTGCTACAGCACATGTGCAGATAAACACACAGACACCTGAACAGGGATTACGGCTTTAGAAATGCTGATGTGTAATTTCAGCTGGGAGGGGAAACACACGTGTAGAGCTCAGCTCAGGTTAGATGAGTGATCAAAAGCGTGGATTAAGGAAACTTTCTAAATACAGTGCATTCAGAAAGTATTCAGACCCCTTCAGAAAGTATTCAGACCCCTTCCCTTTTTCCACATTTTGTTACGTTACAGCCTTATTATGAAATGGATTAAATTAAATGTTTTCCTCATCAATCTACACACAAAACCCCCCTAATGACAAAGTGAAAACAGGTTTTTAGAAATGTTTGCAAATGTATAAAACAATATATAAAGAAATACCTTATTTACATAAGTATTCAGACCCTTTGCTATGAGACTCGAAATTGAGCACAGATGCATCCTGTTTCCATTAATCATCCTTGAGATGTTTCTACAGCTTGATTGGAGTCCACCTGTGGTAAATTAAATTGATTGGACATGATTTGGAAAGGCAAACACCTGTCTATATCGGGTCCCACAGTTGACAGCGCACGTCAGACAAAAACCAAGCCATGAGGTCGAAGGAATTGTCCGTGGATCTCCGAGACAGGATTGTGTCAAGGCATAGATCTGGGGAAGGGTACCAAAACATGTCTGCAGCATTGAAGTTCCCCAAGAACACAGTGGCCTCCATCATTCTTAAATGGAAGTAGTTTGAAACCACCAATACTCTTTCTAGAGCTGGCCGCCGGCCAAACTCAGCATTCGGGGGAGAAGGGCCTTGGTCAGGGAGGTGACCAAGAACCCTATGGTCACTCTGACAGAGTTTCAGAGTTCCTCTGTGGAGATGGGAGAATCTTCCAGAAGGACACCCATCTCTGCAGCACTTCACCAATCAGGCCTTTATGGTAGAGTGGCCAGTAGGAAGCCACTCCTCAGTAAAAGGCACATGACAGCCCACTTGGAGATTGCCAAAAGACATCTAAAGGACTCTCAGACCATGAGAAACAAGATTCTCTGGTCTGATGAAACCAAGATTGAACTCTTTGGCCTGAATGCCAAGCGTCACTTCTGGAGGAAACCTGGCACCATCCCGACGGTGAAGCATGGTGGTGGCAGCATCATGCTGTGGAGATGTTTTTCAGCAGCAGGGACTGGGAGACTAGTCATGATCGAGGGAAAGATGAACGGAGAAAAGTACGGAGAGATCCTTGATGAAAACCTACTCCAGAGCGCTCAGGACCTCAGACTGGGGCAACGACCCTAAGCACACAGCCAAGACAATGCAACAGTGGCTTCGGGACAAGTCTCTGAATGTCCTTGAGTGGCCCAGCCAGAGCCCGGACTTGAACCCAATCAAACATCTCTGGAGAGGCCTGAAAATAGCTGTGCAGATGATCCCCATCCAACCTGACAGATCTTGAGAGGATTTGCAGAGAAGAATGGCCTCCAGTATCTATGCTGCAACTGTCTATGTGCCGGTGGGCTAGGGTCAATCTATTCCAGTTGAAGTCGGAAGTTTACATACACCTTAGCCAAATACATTTAAACTCAGTTTTTCACAATTCCTGACATTTAATCCTAGTAAAAGTTCCCTGTCTTAGGTCAGTTAGGATCACCACGTTATTTAAAAAATGTGAAATGTCAGAATAATAGTAGAGAGAATTATTTATTTCAGTTTTTTTTTTTTTTTTCATCACATTCCCAGTGCATCAGAAGTTTACATACACTCAATTAGTATTTGGTAGCATTGCCTTTAAATTGTTTAACTTGGGTCAAACGTTTCGGGTAGCCTTCCACAATCTTCCCACAATAAGTTGGGTGAATTCTGGCCCATTCCTCCTGACAGAGCTGGTATAACTGAGTCAGGTTTGTAGGCCTCCTTGCTCGCACATGCTTTTTCAGTTCTGCCCACACATTTTCTATAGGATTGAGGTCAGGGCTAAGTGATGGCCACTCCAACACCTTAACTTTGTTGTCCTTAAGCCATTTTGCCACAACTTTGGAAGAATGCTTGGGGTCATTGTCCATTTGTAAGACCCATTTTCGACCAAGCTTTAACTTCCTGACTTATGTCGTGAGATGTTGCTTCAAAATATCCACATAATTTTCCTTCCTCGTGATACCATCTATTTTGTGAAGTGCACCACTCCCTCCTGCAGCAAAGCACCCCCACAGCATGATGCTGCCACTCCTGTGCTTCACAGTTGGGATGGTGTTCTTCGGCTTGCAAGCCACAACCTTTTTTCCTCCAAACATAACGATGGTCATTATGGCCAAACAGTTCTATTTTTGTTTAATCAGACCAGAGGACATTTCTCAAAAAAGTAAGATCTTTGTCCCCATGTGCAGTTGCAAACCATAGTCTGGCTTTTTTTATGGCGGTTTTGGAGCAGTGGCTTCTTCCTTGTTGAGCGGCCTTTCAGGTTATGTCGATATAGAACTCATTTTACTGTGGATATACAGTGGGGAGAACAAGTATTTGATACACTAACGATTTTGCAGGTTTTCCTACTTACAAAGCATGTAGAGGTCTGTAATTTTTATCATAGGTACACTTCAACTGTGAGAGACAGAATCTAAAATCTAAGAAAATCTAAAATCCAGAAAATCACATTGTATGATTTTTAAGTAATTAATTTGCATTTTATTGCATGACATAAGTATTTGATACATCAGAAAAGCAGAACTTAATATTTGGTACAGAAATCTTTGTTTGCAATTACAGAGATCATACGTTTCCTGTAGGTCTTGACCAGGTTTGCACACACTCCAGCAGGGATTTTGGCCCACTCCTCCATACAGACCTTCTCCAGATCCTTCAGGTTTCGGGGCTGTTGCTGTGCAATACAGACTTTCAGCTCCCTCCAAAGATTTTCTATTGGGTTCAGGTCTGGAGACTGGCTAGGCCACTCCAGGACCTTGAGATGCTTCTTACGGAGCCACTCCTTAGTTGCCCTGGCTGTGTGTTTCGGGTCGTTGTCATGCTGGAAGACCCAGCCACGACCCATTTTGAATGCTCTTACTGAGGGAAGGAGGTTGTTGGCCAAGATCTCGCGATACATGGCCCCATCCATCCTCCCCTCAATACGGTGCAGTCGTCCTGTCCCCTTTGCAGAAAAGCATCCCCAAAGAATGATGTTTCCTTCTCCATGCTTCACGGTTGGGAAGCTCTATTTTTGTCTTATCAGACCACATGTCCTTTTCCCATTCCTCCTCTGGATCATCCAGATGGTCATTGGCAAACTTCAGACGGGCCTGGACATGCGCTGGCTTGAGCAGGGGGACCTTGCGTGCACTGCAGGATTTTAATCCATGACGGCGTAGCGTGTTACTAATGGTTTTCTTTGAGACTGTGGTCCCAGCTCTCTTCAGGTCATTGACCAGGTCCTGCCGTGTAGTTCTGGGCTGATCCCTCACCTTCCTCATGATCATTGATGCCCCACGAGGTGAGATCTTGCATGGAGCCCCAGACCGAGGGTGATTGACCGTCATCTTGAACTTCTTCCATTTTCTAATAATTGCGCCAACAGTTGTTGCCTTTTCACCAAGCTTCTTGCCTATTGTCCTTTAGCCCATCCCAGCCTTGTGCAGGTCTACAATTGTATCCCTGATGTCCTTACACAGCTCTCTGGTCTTGGCCATTGTGGAGAGGTTGGAGTCTGTTTGATTGAGTGTGTGGACAGTTGTCTTTTATACAGGTAATGAGTGGAGAATAGGAGGGCTTCTTAAAGAAAAACTAACAGGTCTGTGAGAGCCGGAATTCTTACTGGATGGTAGGTGTTCAAATACTCATGTCACGCAATAAAATGCAAATTAATTACTTTAAAATTATATAATGTGATGTTCTGGATTTTT